TAACATTCACTCAATGACTCTCTCTCTCTCTCTCTCTCTCTCTCTCTCATTCTCACTCTCTCTCTCTTTCTCTCTCTCTCTCTCTCTCTCACACACACACACACACACACACACACACACTCACTCACTCACTCTCTCTTTCTTTCGCACATATAGACACACAAACTTTAAATAGATAACATGAGAAAAGTATATTTGGGGACAAACTAAAATTGTTATGAACAGATAAAAACAAAAATATAGACAGAGAAAGAGAGACAAATTGAAAGATGAAGCGTGATTAGTGCATAAAATATCAACAAAGAAAGAAAGAAAGAAAGAAAGAAAGAAAGAACAGGATAGAATAGCAACAAAGAAAGAAAAAAGAAAGAAAGAAAGAAAGAACGGGATATCAATAAAAATATGTACGAATCATAATCTCTCTCTATATATATATATATATATATATATATATATATATATATATATATATATATATAGGTATGGATAGGATGTCCCAAGACATTTACTTTTAAAATAGCAATAAATGCAATGATATTTATTGACTTGTAAACAAGATTAATGGTTAAAATTATTAAGTATTACATGAAATTAAATGATTTGGATCTGAAAATATTCAAGATGCTATAGGAAGTCAAAAAGTGAGTACAAATTGAGCAGCCTGTAGATAGATAGATAGATAGATAGATAGATAGATAGATAGATAGGTAATGACAAAAGTAAGAATCATATGAAATGTCTCATATATATATATATATATATATATATATATATATATATAGTTTATGCAAAACTAGGTAATCCGCATGGGTAGACCCAAGGAGGATGATATCCGGAGAGCTCAAAGTAAAATTCAGAGCCGATATGTTTGAATAAAAGTGGTCTGTTTTTTTATTATATATATATATATATATATATATATATATATATATATATATATATATATATATATATATATATATATATATAAACTTATATAAAAGCACTTTTTTATAGCTCCTTTAATTTTTATTAAAAATATATATATATATATATATATATATATATATGACAAGTATATAAAAAGATACTAAAATATTACTGCTTTCCTGAAAAAAAAAAAATTCTGTGTTTCATTTGTGATACTGAGGTCTCACAATCCTCAAGAACAAAATACTCAATTCTGTATTTTGACGTATAAATTCGATATTAGCACACACGCACTCACTCACTCCACACACACACATATATATATATATATATATATGTGTGTGTGTGTAAATATTGCATTCAAACGTTAACGTCATATTCACCTTGAAATGCTGATCGTACACTGCCTATATCCATAAATTCTGTTTCCAACATACATCTAATTTGAACAGTATATATATGCATACATACATATATATATATATATATATATATATATATATATATAAATGTTGTTTTATCTATCCACTATCAGTTTCTCACTCTCTCTCTCTCCCTCTCTCTCTCTCTGTTTACATGTCACATTCTCTCTGTATATATATATATATATATATATATGTATGCATGTATAGTCAATAAATTAATAAAAGTTCAATAAATTTGTACACAAATAGTAGACATAGCAAAACATTTAATTTTGAATTGAATTGGTAACAAGAAATTGTACATCCTGATAAAACTTCATTAACACGAAAGAAAGAAAGAAAAAAAGAAAGAAAGAATGAAAGAATGAAAGGAGGGTGGGTGTAATAAAGAAAGAATAAAAGAAGAAACAAAGGAAAGTAAGAACGAAAAAAGGAAGGAAGGAAAAAAGAAAAGAAAGAGATTGATATTTATAAAGAAGTCGAAGACATGATGACAGACAGAAAGACCGACAGACAGGCAGGCGCAGCCAAGCGAACGAAGGCCAAAACTAAGCGAAATCGGTCACTCCAACCAAGAATACAATTTACTGCAACTGCTATCAATTTCTGCCGCTGCACATTATTGCAGATGCTGCAACTATGCATCAATTTTATGCAGCTGCACGCAAAACACCCACCCCCTCCCACATACATGACTGTATACCAGAGAATGCATATACATTTTTATATATATAAAGAGAGAGAGGGGAGGGAGAGATATATATATATATATATATATATATATATATATATATATATATATCACAAGCGATCATACAAATGCTTACACGTAGCGTAACAGAAAAATTGTGTGATTTTGCAAAGGTCACGGTCACACGTTTTGAAGACGAATTTGGCGCGTATGAATAAATGAGTGCGTGTCTGTGTATCTATGTGTGTCTAAGTATGCATCTATAAGTGTCTGTGTGAATGTGTTTGTGCGTGTGTGTGTGTGTGTGTGTATTAGTGTGCGTTTTTGTACGTGTCAGTGTGTGTTTGAGAATGTTCGTGTCACGGTCACACGTTTTGAAGACGATTTAGGCGCGTATCAATAAATGTGTGTGTGCGCGTGTCTGGGTGTGTCTGTGTGTGTGTGAGTGTGAGTGTGTATCAATTTGTGCCGCTTT